TCTCCCGGGACCTGCTTAAATGCGCGATGTTTTAGAAATTCAAATTATTCTATGACGGTGTATGCAAAGCGAAGTCTTTTGCAAACAAATCACCCGGGCCGTATTTTATTAGGGCTTTGTTCTTGTCTATATATTCATCAAACACCGGTCATCCTATCTCTCTTATCTGAGGAAGTGTAAAAATTTTAACAACGCAGTGAAGTGGTCTAATGTGGGCAGATCAAGAGTGTTAGAGGTATACGGTACACTGCACTTTCATTGTAAAAGCCGGATCGTGTTTCGCAACAACAAAACTACACCAAGTTGTCACAAGCATATCAACGTAATACGGAGAGGTATTCAAAGATTTCGTTGAGGTTCAAGGTCTCCTCTAAGGATTACTCTCAGACACGAAACATTTTGCCCATGATTTGAGGCATTCGTAGAAGTCACGGGTATTTGTTTAAGATGAGTGTGAGTTCTTCAAGGTACCCGCTCATTCGAATCAGCAAGACAGGCGAAATGAGGTTAAAGAACAAGGTTGGAAATGCAATACTCAAGGAGAATGCCTACGAAGACCGAGCGCTCAACACTCGTTTAGACACCTTATCTAAACATCAATTCAGGCAAGATAAGTACATGACTTACAGGCAGTTAGAATTTGCCACGAAGCAAGTTTCGGCATCGGAAGAAAGACCACGAACACTGCCTAATGGACAGGAAAACAAACAAGCTAGCGAACAACTGCCGCCGATAGATACAAGACGAAGGTCGAACATTGTGGCTTCGAACTTGGAAACAAATCGCTCAAACAATGGTGGAGAGGTCGCAGGGAATACTAAAGCGAAAGGGCGCTGGGAAAAGGCGATAACGCTTGTAAGATTAGCAGTACAGAAAAGAGAGACAAATGAAGGTAGCACTAAGCCGGTGGCCGGCCATAGAAGGAAAATTTCCGGAACTCAAGCGCCAGAGTCACTGGTTTTAGATCCTAATCAGTTACCACCTATACATGCTAACGAAGGAATACTTCGAGAGCCCGTTGGTTCATCTAAGAGAAAAGCTCTACGAAAACAACCGAGTTTACCAGAAATGCTAAAACTTTCCCGAGAAAAAACGCAAAAGTGTCTGGAGGATCCAAGGTTTATGAAGCTCGAGCAGTGTCTAAGCGAGACGAAAAATCCTCGAGAAACCCGACAACAACGAAGAAATTTGAGAAGACGATCTTCTCCAGATAGAATTCGCGGCTATACGCACTGAAAAAAGCTGCCGTGAGAAAGATTTTTCATGTATGCACGAAAACATTGCTTAAAGTCATAAATTATTTACAAAGGTATACATCTGCATGCAGTGGAAAAACAGCTTAAATCTTTCGTAAAACAGAAGGTTTAAGATTTCCACTAAGATAGTTTATATAAGAAAACGTGAGTAAAATTCTTGCAGTGAAATATACAGTCTAGATAGCTTTTTGTTCTCATAATTTATTTTGTCATGACCACCGTCGCGAGCTATTCGTTTACTCATAACTTAAGTTCAAAAGATATTCATAAACAAGCCATTTATTGTAAATAAAAATTCTCCAACAAAAATAGAATAAATTTTGAGCCATATTGCAATCAGGAACCTTGTTAGCTGACACAATTGTGTTAACCGTCTAAATGATTGCAATTCATTTTACTTTGCCTGCTTTCTAAAGCACTGATGACATTATAATTAACTTTACGAAAGAAGGAAATTTCCGTTTTTTAAGATGAGACATTAAAAATGAAGGCTTTGTAAATAAAAACTCATGCACCTTGAGTTATCTTAAGGTAGTTTAAGGCAATAAAACTTTAAGGATAAAAAGAAAATTCCGTTCAATTTTCACTGTTAACTGTGCGTTAATTGCGAGCGTGTGTGAATACACGAGTGTCCTATGGACAGCCAGTGACCCGTAAAGTTGCCCACTTAAATTATACCCAATACGTGCATTGAGGCATACATTTCGGTCAGGGCAATGTCACGTCTGCAATCTTCAATCAATCTTATTCCCCGTCATAACATTTATTTTTTTGCCGTTCTTCTACGGTCTTATCTCTATTAAATAAATTAGTTATTAGTTACAATGAAATGGATAGGCGGAACATCTATCCATCCCACAATTTTTTCTTTTCTTTTTTTTTTTTCCCATCATAAAAGGAATGAAGATCGGAAACTTCATAAAGGATGCTGTCTGGCGTAACAGCGTCTCAACTGCTTTTCCTGACGTAAAAACTGATSCGTCAGTGATCGAGACATTGTTTATCATGTTTATGTCATCGTTTTGCTTTTTTTTGAATCACTCCTCCCTTGCGACGCTAACAAAAGCATAGGTAGCTTATGCGCTAGTGAGAACGGCTGGGCCGGACATTATCTCAAACAGAAGCCGTCTGCTAATAATTAAGCTTATGCTTATGTCGGTGTTATGTGCAGTGAAGGCATGACTGGCAACGCTGATTGACTGAAGGTCTTTCCCTTACGCTTTTTAAAATTATGCTTATGCCAACCATATCCTCGCTGGACACAACAGCGACATACTGAAGCATAAGCATAAGAAAAATGCAAGGTTTGATAGTCTTATGTTTATGCTTATGCTTATGTCTGGCCGTCCTAACTAGCGCATGGATGTTTTAATGCTCACAGTGCTTATGTAATGCTTGCGTCGCTAGTGAGGACTGGGCTTTAGGGGGCTCTCAGTATCCCACATCCCGTTAATTTTGGCCTAAATATCCTTTATCCCGTTAATTCCTGTTGCAAAAATTAACGATTCTCCTACACGATATCCCGTTTTGATCTGATCGAAATATTCCCTATCACACTAGTTCCCCCCCCCCCCGCCAAATATCCTGGCAGTTCCGTTAAGTTTTTAAAACCCATAGTACCTCACCAATCGCATGCTACCAAACGTTTCGTTGGTTTTCTTTCAAGAGACCACAATTTGTAAGAGCTTTTGGTTCATTTTTTGTCCTTGCAGAACTGTAAACTTAGCAAATGCCTCTTTTTTCTTCTTAGAGACTGATTGTACGTCAAAGTCAGCTATTCACTTGAAAGCGCATTGAAATTGTGGATTGAAGATCACAAAGAAATTTTCAGCCCCGAACAGATTGCTTGCATGCACTGCGCTGACTCCAAAGAGGAAGCTTGTGCGATCTGGTACGCTTAACGCTGCACGGGAGGTTTGGCATATAATTGAGACCCGTGTTCTCGTGGCCCGAGTTTCTATAGTTTATAAATTACCAGAGCCAATCAACTCCAACTATCTCAGGTATTGTGATGACGTTATTTTTATTACATTAGTGAGGCCGCCACCTGCTAAAGCAAACACGAGAAAAATCATCATGTAATAATTGTACAAAGTACGCAATTCAGTTAATTAATAATCCAACGATTAATTTCGCTACATATGCCACGAGATCACATTTTCTTCCGTTTAAGTCTTATTTCGCAGAAATGTGCACCACTGTTTTCTCTTCTGAGGTCTTATGAAAGCCGCGCAGT